ACTGTTTTTCAGTTTTCGCTCCTAAACCACGAATTGCCCTTGAGGAACTGTTGTATTGTTTCGTTCTTAGTGATCTGTTAGTCTATTGTATACTCATATAACAAAGATATTGAAAGTGTGAGCATTAAAAAAGAAATATGCAAACCGACTTTCAGGTTAGGTGATGAACTTAAATTTGTCCATTAAAGTATGTCGTTTCTTCTGCTTAATTACATGAACGCATAGTTGAGAAATTTTTGATATGAAAACTGTTATGCGAAAGGGAAAAGGAAATATTTCGTCAAAACGAACAATTTTACACGAAAAAATCAACTGTCATTAGCCCCAGCAACAATGAGAATGTTAATATCTTTTAAAGACAAGTTCTGAATATTAGCAGTTTGCATCGTTGTTGTTATTGATACTTTTAGCATGTCAACTCGGAGTTCGTACTCAATGGACCTTTCACAACAGCATTGTGATAAGAGCAAGTCTAAAGTTCGAAATCGTCAAATCTCTTTTTATTCATCACCGATCTAAGAAAGTTTACGCTCGAAATGTATGATCGATCAAATTTTAAAATACTCTATTTCTTACCTTCTATCTGGTAGTCAATATGAAAATCACTGTAGCATACACAGAAAACACTATCAAATATACAAAAACGAGTGAATTATAAAAATTAATTTCTCATTGAAAAACTGTCAGTCTGTATTGAGAAGAAGGCAAACCCCATTTAATATCCATTGTGAATAATGTTCCCTTGTATATAGCCCCGCTTCAAATATCAGACCATGCCCCATTGAATTACACCTATCCGATGTTGCATAAACAGGTGTTGGTAAATAATTGGCGGTATTTAAACGATGTGATTCAACGGGAACAACTTTAATTATCGGCATTAATTGTATTAATTGTTTGGATTTTTGTTGAACTAAACATCGATTATCAATATCCCATCCGGCACCCTCCAGATAGAGACCATCAATTAAACAAATACCTTGTGTTACCTCATCAATATCGTCATACTTTTGCCATTTCGATACACTCGTATAAAATGTTGATCGATCTAATGGCCATTGATTTTTTCTTGCAGCTATCTGTGTTATAGCGGCTAAATACGATTCTGGCACATGTAATCCACCTAGCCAGACAAGTTTTAGTTCACCTATATACAGAAAAACTATTTAATTAATATAATTAGTTTAAAGAAAATTAATTTTACCATCTTGATACCATTTATCGTACTGTTGATTTCGTCGTCTAAAATGTTCCATCCAATTTCCCAATGATTTTCTTGTTTGTGGTGTATATGTACGCCATAATGGTGGTATGAGACCATTGAAAATATGTCGATTTATTTCATCTAATTCAAATGATAAACCAATTTCACCTTTGAGTGCACGTTTCAATTCTGTAATAGATCGCCACATTTGTGATGTCAATAAATTAAAATATGTTAATTCTTGAAATAGAACGTTAATTGTCGGTGTTATACGTTGATTAAATTTTTGCTTTATTATTCTTAAATCTTTTTTTGATGGTATTTGTTGTAAAATATCATCACATAACGTTTTAACAAATTCTTCACGATTAAAATTGTTGTCTATTTCAAATGTTTGAGGTTGTAAATCTAACATGAGTGACCATAATTCTCTTGCTGATTTTGTATAATAATTAATTTCAGCATTCAAATTTAATCCTAATACATTTGGTGGATTATACAATGGTAATTGTTTAACATACGTAGAATATAATTCTCGAAAGAGAGCAAAATTAAAAAATTGATTAAACAAAACATTTTTCGATAAAAACTGATATTTTGCATCGTTTATCTGTTGTTGCTTTTGAGTATTGAATAAACGTTTCAATGAATATTTTGAATCTGCTTGTTTACGTGTATGAAAAAGAGACGATATTTGAACTTGGTCTATTTTATCCATATTTCTTTGCAATGTTTCTGCTATTTTTTCTGGTAAATATTTTTCAAAATTTTTTTCAATAGCTGGATCAATATGTATATTCGCTTTTTGCAATAGCCATTGTTGTTTTATTGATAAAAAATCGCGTAATTCCGGTATAAAATAATCGTGATAAGTTAGATTAGAAGGATTCATATAGAAATGAAATAGTTGATATTCATCGAATACAAAATCACCAAAATATTCAAGCATATACGTTTTAATTATTCGTCTATCGTATGAATCAATAATACGCCCACCATAGATCACTTCGCTAATAAGATATCGTATTGTTATCCATGGTATTTCAAATGTACCACGTTCTAGTGACATATTAAGATAGCTTTTGATAATATTAAATGATACTCGAAAATCTGATTCATTAAAATCGTAGTTAATATTCCTAAAAGATCATCATGACATATGATTAATTGAACAAATAATCACATAAACCTACCATCCAAGTTTATCATATTTTCGTCGTTCGAGCAAAATAGAATGAAAAAATGCCAAGATAAATATAAGTGGTGGAAATGCCGGATGATCTAAAATTTAAGTATGATCGAAGATTTAGAAAATGATCGTGACCGGAAATAAAAAAAAATTCTCATCAAATTTTATACTATTTTGTAGTCCATTGTCTCCTCTTTCATTTCGTAAATAAAGATTTAATTGACATATCTTATGTACAATACACGAATGTTTTTCCAAACGTTATCAAAATATGTGTGGAACATGTGGAAACAAATTAAAACTGTAAAAAGGTGTGGTGTACATGTTTTTTCATTTGATTTCACCACGAAATCAAAACCTTTTTCATGAAATTATTTTATAAGAAGTTATCTTTTCATAGAAAAAATTATGCCTTTTATCACTAGCGCTGAAGAAGTTTCTTAACATTCATCTAACGCCGAATTTCATCGACAAAAAGCGTTTTCTTCCTACTTTTAATGTTTTGCAGTTAAAAGCACGATTTGAGAACTTTTCTCATCAAATTCGTGTTTGTCAAACGTATATTTAACGACATCTGGAAAAAACAGATGTTTTTTGTTCTTTATCCTTGCTCACCAGATTCTGTGAAAACGTTTGGTGTAAGATTGAAAAATGTTGATTTTAAAATTAGTTTTAATGTTGATGGAGCTTCAACAACCACTTTATATGATTTTTGTAATAAACCAATTGGAAAGTCACGTATAGGTTCTAATAAAACACATTAACAGTTTGAAGAGTAAGATAGGAAAAGAGTAAACTCACCTGTTGTCATCCATAAACGAAATTCTGAATGTGGTTTTTGGACCGCTTCAAGTTCTTTTTCGAGACTAGTTAAAAATGGAATGAGTAGATGACAATTTTGTAATAATAACCTATAAGGTACAATTTAAAATGAAATTTCAGTGTTGATCAACTCTTTTCTAGTTCAAACCATTGTCCTTGTTGTTGTGCTTGCAAGAGAGCATGTAATGCCAATTTTTCTTGTCCTTGACCCATGGCTAAAATGCGTATTGGTTTTTGATCTTCGATACTATTTACACCAACTAAATCATTCGGTAAACTCTTTGAAGGACGGTCTAAAGATGCACCAATACCTATAAGAAAAAAAAGTTAGTTACCGAATATTCAACTTATCAATGACATTTTTTCATTATCACGTGTCATCGAAAGTGTTTACTGTTTATATAATTGAAAACGTCGAATTTAAAATAAATAAAATGGTGAGAACCTCAGGGTTTCTCCGCCAGAAATATAGATTTTTTTCATCATAAATCGGTATTGAGCTAAGCATATGGTTCGATAAACCAATATATCTACTCTAAAATCCATACTATTTTTGTCAATATGAAAGATTTATGAGGGTCTCAGAATAAGTTTTCTAAAAAAGGTCTAAAAAACTGATTTTTGTGAAATTATAATATTTTAGTAAATTGCCAGAATCAAATAAGACTTAAATGATGCTGGTATGTAGAACAAATATTTGTGGTTAATATGAGACATCGCCCACCTCTGACGGACACCTTGATCACCTATTAAGACGGATTTTCTAAAAGTTCTAAAATTTGTATCATACACTAGCGTTATCATATCTTAAAATCGATTTTTCTCTTGATCGTTTTAAGAGTCTCTCAAAATTCTCACTCAGTTTAGGTGCTAAAAGAGTTCAGAATGGTTTTGTTTTGTAGAGAAATCTTGTTGCTTGACAATACAGAGTCAAATTCTTGAGTTTTGTTTCGGAAGGTAACGAACACCAAGTTCCTCTGAAAA